ATTTCGTTGCTTGAGTTATTTTTTGAATGAATTTCAACGGAAGCTCCCTATCCTTTTTCTGTTGTTTTTAAAAAATGAAATCTGAACAAAAGTATATTCAATGTTAAAACACAGCGGCAAATAGTAGTGTATGTTAGAACTTTATGCTTTACGGTATTAAACATCAACGCAAAGTGAATGACTCATTCTGTTCTCATGGTCACATAGATCGGAGTTCTCGAACAGCATTTCCACCGCAGGAATTTCCTTGATAGTAAAACCATTTTATTAAACTTTAGCCGTTTCTAGTTTACTTGACATGCTGCCTGTGAATTTCAGTACCACAGTAAACTTCTAATGGTCAATTTTTTCTCTATAAAAAGTAAACTGGAGAAACAATTCTATTATTTCAATAAAATCAAACTACGTCACATCAATGTGAATTTTATTGACTCCAAAAGATCTGACGGCAATTAGTAAAATAAAGAGAGATAAATGTATGTTTACTTCACCGGTATCTCGACTGAACTGTATTCAAACCTATCAGTATTTTATACCAACCGCACGACAAAAACCCAGCCAATATTTCGGACTTCACTTGTAGTAAATTCATGCTTTAGTGTTTGAACTCCGTATAATATTGCTCTCATTGGAGAACCAAATAAAATTTTTAGTATCAGTGAGTCAAGAACAGTAATGTTTTCTCATTAAGTAAACAAAATTAATGCCTATAGTTATTTCATAATTTACATATATTATCCTCAAAAAATGATGGAAGAAATATATATAAGGATGTAGGGTCACACTGCTGAGCTAACTTTTGTGGTATCTATCAAGTTTGAACGTTAAAATAAGCATTTGAAGAATCAATATCAGTGATGAAGAATGGAATAGAAATTACAATAACACTTCGGTACCACAGTTTTTCCTAAATTCCTTTGGGAGAAAACGCGGACGGAGAATTTATGAAACTGCTCACAAATATTTAAATGAATCTGTGAACTATCGGGTCAGAAATGTGTATCATAATAACGGTGTTGTACATCACTGAGGTGATGCCAAGAGTTCGCTATCTCGTCGACACTGTCGCACATATAATTGTTTTTCTTGCAGATTCTAATGACCATCCTCATAAGCCTGTAGTGACTCACATTTATCACGAGAACACGACTGGTTTAATAAAAACATTTATTATTATAACAAACTGTACCAGTGTTTGTTTTAATGTGCTTTTGTTTGACTGTGCTAATTCGGTTACGTTCTGTAACCAAGCTTGTATCCTGGCACGATTTCGGTATCCTTTCGATGCCACGAGATTGCCAGCGAAAATATCTGGATTTGGTCCATTAATTGCCTTCTGATATTTGGCTTCTCGAGGAGTTTATGGATTTATTTGGTTACGTTCAACCTTCGCCTTCTGTTTCACTTGGCACGCGATCCTTTGTAGCGGTGTTCATTGTTAATCCCAACTCGACACCACGCTACAAGCCGGTCTTCATCTAACGAGCAACAAACTGAAAACTCTTTGCCACATACGGTAAGAAATATGTTTCTCTTAACGTGGGTTTACGCACACCCATTCACCGGACTTTAGATTGTATGGTATTGAACTGCTACAACACCACAGTCTACTTATAGTGACTCACGTGCAACTGAGTTTATCCTCATTTAATTTAGTTAAGTCCTTTTGCTAACTCATTTGGCGGACAAAGTCATCCGCACTATAACAACTTATTGTATCCTTATTATTTTGTGCTTGTATGAGATACGTATGCTTGAATATTGCTTACGGCCTACGCATTTATTCACTCTGATTGTCTTACTACTAACTGCTTATTTGGTTCGATTGCTCATTCATTTCACACGGTATATATATGTCCATGTTATTCATACTCAACACACACACACTCTCGTCTCGCTCTTGCTCTGGCTCTCGCTCGCTTGATTGTATTCGCTTACCCATATAACCTCGCGCTTCACTCCACCTTCCAGAAATTAAAAATAAAGACATATTTTCATACTGTTCCGATTTCTTCTATCAGTAGAACGAAGGATGTGTTATGGGAGAATTAAAAACATTTGGCTAACTAAAAACTTTATAATGTATATTTTTGATTTTACTGTGTTTTTGAATGTATTTGTTTTAATGAACTTCTGAACTTGTTTGTTTATATCATTATTTTCGGACATTTTGGTTTCTCTTTGTCTTTGGTTTGGCGTTTGAGAGTTTTTGCTCCGGGAACCTACGAAATTGAAGGTTTGTTTTGTGATTGTTATAATCATTGTTGTTAGAACGACATTTGGGTCGACTATTTGTAAATTGCGAATAAACTTTGGCACCTAGATTCGAGTTTGGTTTTATCGTTAATTTGGGTTCGTAAATTGCAAATAGATCGATAAACCGCACTTCAATAATGGAACGAGCAAAAACTTGAACGTAACAGGGTGCCCATTGGCACGAAAGGTGCGCTTTGTTATACAATCCTTGCAACTGCTAGCCAGCTTAGACCAAACGCTTCACGACGTATCGGTAGCTTATCAAATATACATTCGAATCCTTTCATTCCTGACTTCTGATCCGACTGTTTAGGTATACTTCGATTATAAAGGTGTTATGTGTTAAAACATTGTCAAATTCAGGATACCTGTAGCATTTTTACCATAAAATTTAGTTGGAGAAATAGAGTGTTTGGATTCACTGATGATATTTATGTCTACTTTCATTACAAGCACGGCGCAGTCAGGCAGACATTATGATTATGCTGTACTAAAATGTGGTTTTTCGTAGCCTATTGGTCGGATTATAGTTTGAAGGAACGTATGTGCCATAAACTCAAATCTTCCGATTACTTCTGTATAATAGATTTAAGCTAAGGCCGTTTGTATAACGGCGTCAATAGGAAGTCAAATGCATATTAATTGAGATTGGTTTATCCCATGAAATCGATGACACGGATAGACACAAAAACGAAAAAATGAAACCAAGCGGAGAGGACAAGCTTGCCAACTTATCTTGATTTAGCGCAACTGACTGCCTAAGGTCGGACAAAAGAGTAAAAGAGATGTGATGAATAGGATGATCGACACACATACACTGTTGTGTAAAAACACTCAATTTTATGCGTGGAAAACAGATATGGTCAAAATGTAGCTCAAAATGTAGCTCAAAATGTATAAACTTATTTTCTGCCCTAAAGCTAGAACAATCCACGTAGCTATAAAGGTATTAGACAGTAAAAACCTTCACAATTTTCCATCCATCTTCCGTAGCTCAAAATCAAGGTAGATAAAGTCGCCTAATTTTTCTGAAACACCTTACTCCCAGCTCTCTCCATGACAGCTGAATGGATTGTAGCTCCTCTGCTTTACCTAAATTCCACTGAATCAAGTGAAAAATTAATCATTTACAATCGTATTTATCCTGGCATGAACACTCGATCTGTCTGTCATCAATGAAGTAAAAGATCCATTATTTCGCTTAGTAAATATTGGTATGCTATTATGTGACTGATTCGTTATACAGATCACTGACCAACAAGTAAAGAGGAGGTTTGTTTATAAAAGTTAGACAGTGGTTGCGATTAAGCGGTACAGATATAAATTTTGAGTGATTTTATTTGAAGATAATCCTTCAATAAAGAATTTTACCAAGTCCATCTTCTACAACGGTGAGGTTTTCAAGTTCTGGATGTTAAATATACGTGAATAAAGTTTCGTTGTTTTAGTTTAATGCTTTAAGCCATCATCTACTGTTGGAATGAAATAGCTATAAAAACTTGTTGTACAGTTATTTTGATCCTCTAAAGGCATCTACGAACGCTTTCCATGAACACGCCAACGTAGTGCATCAGAATTCGGAGGAGCGAAAAGTAAAAAATAACAAAACTTAGGGCTCGAAATCTGATCCTCGTTGAAAATTATGGAGCGACCCCACATCACTAAACAAAATTAAATACAGCGAAAAAGTGCTTGATGATTCACTCGCACTAAACTATGAAAAAACTGGCTCTCCATGGAACCACAGACATGTACAATTTCTCGGTTTTATGGATATTCTGAGACATGATTTTTCCTTTTTTATTTCAAATTCCTTTTCAGTCGTTTGTGTTCTGTCTCATTAGAGGTGTAACGCGTAAGGAGTGTGTAACAAAAGATATTCTACAATACATTCTGCTCGCTCTATGATTTTACCTACCTGCATGTACCGTCATTTTTGCATATTCTCTATACATTTTGGTATGGTATGTATTTTATTCGGTAACTAGAAAACCATTCTGAACTCCATAGTTACCTTTAGCTAAACAGGTCGTCGATGTACAGTTTTACAAGGAAAAAGGTTTGTAGATGCACAACACGAAGTCATTAGAATAACGGATAAACATCAAATAGCAGGCTTCCTGGTAAGGGGATTTCCTTATCTTTTTGGTGCAGTAGAAGGAATGAAGGTCAGATAAGGGTGTACAATCAACCGAATAGCCCAAACCATTCAAATTTGACAGTCTAACACGGAGTCACCGTTTTAAACCGAGAAATCGCCCTCGAAGAAACGGATTGCAAAGTGTGCACAATCAAGTATGAACGCATGATGCTTTAATACAAAAATTATCAAGCCGGAAAATTCTTTCAAACCATGAATTCCCTTAAAAATGCTCTGGACGACTATGTGCATAGTTGTGGACTCTGTCATTTCAGTTAAATAAGTGGATAAGACAATGAATAAAGCCTCATTTCACTTCTAATTATCTATGTCCATCTGACTATCTTTTTCCCATTCCACATCCTGACATAAATTAAATCTTTATTGTTCTTGCCTCAGTCTCAGAATCATTATCGTGACCAAGAAAAATACTACCCGATTAAGTAACGGCAACTGAAAACAATTGCATGTCAAACTTCTAAAATCAAATGATAACGATGAGTAAATGAACTCGCATATGTTAAATCAAATTCGAAAAATTATGGCATTTCATTTGTTGCAAAGTGAGTAAATCTCATTGGTTACATAGGAGCTATATTTGTTTGTACGCACTAAGTTGCTTTGGAGAGCGTTTGAGGAATTTCAAACAAACTCGTAAATGGAGAAACTATAATGTAAGTTAAAACAAGTTGAAGAATTCAAATAACCGGAATCTATACTTAACCTGTTTTCATCGTTGGCATATCAAACATAGGAAACAGTAACTACGATGTGCAGCTACTTTTCTGGCCTAATACCTATTCGATCTAACCTGTTTTCGAATGCCTATATTACTAAAAGATTCAGGCATATTTATTTTGCATTCATCCTCGTTCAACAAACAATTAATACACTTTAAATTTCACATGATTCTGATTCATTGAAATTTCGAGCGTATTCATTTAAAGTGAAGTGAATAAGCCTAAAGAGTTTTCAGAAACATTTTACACTCACATGCATGTAAGTGAATGTTAGCTGTTATACACTTGCAGACATACGTGTGCTAAATTTTAATTTGTCTAAATATTCAAGTAATTGTTTACAGTTGCATTTGTGTAGTGTTTCAGTGACAGATTCCATATCCCCTGTCTATTAAGAAGTAGAGAAGGAGCAAAAGTAAATTTATTCCACCTGCACAAGGCGGGAGATAAGTTCTAGTTATGAATAAATCAAAATTCTTGATTCGGTTCTATAAAGCCTTAAAACAATATAAAAGACACCAATGTATTTGGCTTCATGAAGGACCTTAGTATATATTGGGTGCACATTTGACTAGTACTCATAATGTAACTGAGGTTAAAACCATACCGCGGACCTCGATGTGTTTACCTACCCAATAAATGTGACCATGAATCAGTTTTCATTTGCATTCAGTAAACCTGAATACGACTTTAAGTAATTATCAACAACCTGCCATGATATAATTAATTTATGTAAGACGAATGTTTCACACAAACGGTGCATCGATGTGGAGAAACTAGCTCTATGATCAGTTATCTAAGTTTTGGAAAATGGAACATTAGAAATAGAAAGCGGGTACATACCATACTTTCTATGGATGGAACCAACGTTTTTTGCTATGAACAGATAGGCTGTCCAGGACTATTGCGTATAAACAATACAGATGTTTCAGTAGTGAGTACTCAGCCACGTTTTTGCTTCAGACTCATAGGTTTTTCCAAATACGCGAGTGTAAATGTCGAAGAAATATAGAGACCATCATTTGGAAGATTATGGGATGCGTAAAGGTTAAGAACCAGCTTTAAAGATTGAATAATTATTTCACAGGATTCTTTTTCAAGATTATGCGTAATGATGACAGTAATTAACGAAAAACTAAGGCAGAAAAGTATTCAAGACATGCTAGTCCATCTAAAACAAAACGGATCACATGTTTGACCACTGATCGTTACCTTTTGAGTAGACGAACTAGCTGATTTCGTTGAAAACTAGAAATGTCTGTTGATTTGACCCGGTTTTATTAGAATGATTATTAATTTGGAAACTTCTCACATTTTAGCGCAATATAGACGTTTTGTTGATAGATTTACAAACGTTTGTTTTTTAACTTTAAGTGTAAACCTTACGCAAGTAAGCATTCGATTTACAAGACAGTGAATAACATGATTGTTTCCAATTTTTCGATAGAAGCAACCTATTGAATGGAGGGTGATTCACTAAAAGATCTAGCGGCAGCAAAACTTACAGCCGAAATTTTTGAAAAGAAAGTAAGTTTTACGGTGAAAGATAAGAAGCATTTATTTCTCCTTGATATTCTGAAACAACTCATTTTTATATTTCCCGGATAAAACTAGAATACACTCATTTACTTTACTTAACTCAGTCTCCAAACATTTACAAACTGCTTTGTCTGAATGTTTACCTCAAGACAAATATAATTTACTTTAGGTAGTCTGTCCGTGGTTGACTGTTATATATACTCCTCACAATCATTGATTATTGTAAATGTCTCTTGACAATTAATGTAATGTACTCTGTTTTATAATAAACAGAAAGCTCTAAAGCTACATACTTCGGACGATTCCACAGTATAACGTGCTCAGAAAGACATGAATTCCGCCAAAACGTGATTCTGAATCACATAAGACAGAAACGCTAAGAAGTAGAACCTAAAATTGCTCATAAATCATGATGTGTTTATTAAGAAACTTTATTTATTAGATAAAAATATGTATTCACTCTGACGTTAGACTTCATTGGCTCATCTCACTCTATAATTTACTAATCCTTGAGTAGATATGTATCCTGGATTGATTTTGTACATATCCTTTGTCTTAATACATATGATTCAACTTAAAATGTCAAATAATAATAGTGTTGTAAACGCACATATCTTGAGCATTCTTATAAGCAATGAGTTAAACAGAACTCGATCTATATTTACAACGAAACAGTGAATAAAATATAAGTAAGTAGGTAGACATAGATACACAGGGAAGAGTACATGCATATAAAAAGGTACAGTAAGAGAAGTGAAAAATTACGCCTACGAAAATAACTATATTAAGCCCGACAACGATAAATGTAGAGGAATGTACTTGAACACAATTTCATAAGATACACGATCAGATTAAAATGGCACATTTACTGATCAACCTGGAACAGGTTTCATACTATTGTAATTAGAAGTGCCACAAGGAACAGAACATAAATCATTGTCACAGTAGGACATCTCAATAAAACATGAAATGCGAAGACATAGTAAAGTCCCCTTCTAATATAAGGTTAAAAAAAATAAAATACTAACAAATCATGAACAATGAAAATATTATGCCCTCCATCTCCTGCTACCTGTAAAACTATCATTATGTTTTACTTGTTGCTGTTGCATTTACATGATGTATAATGATAATCGTCAGGAGAATAATTCCACTTGGTTTTTGTGGTAAGTTCATGTTAATATTCATTTTTCTGTGATAACTGTTCAACCAGTAAGTACTAGTCATTAAACTTTTAAAAAAATTTTTATCATCAAATTAACTCAATATTTTTTGTGTATACTGGGCTCTGTATTCAAATTTTAATATGCTTAAACAGTCTGCTTAGACTCAGTTTTCTTTCATTGTAACTTGAAATGTATCACAAACCCTACTTCTCAAAAACAATAATTTACTTCCTTACTTTTATATCATTCCTCATATGTTTTGTAAATCGAGTACCATGAAATAGAATATGAAAAAGAGAAATATCGTGAAGAAGCTCGTCTAGCTAAAAATCATTTAGAATTAACAGAAACTGCCCTGAAGAATGCTGAGGAAAAACTTAAAGAGTATCAAAAGAACATTAAAAAGTTAGAAAATGATCTACACACTTATGAATTATTAAAACATCGAAGCCAGGCAGCCGTAGTTGGGCTACAAAAAGTAGCGAGAGAGTCTCAAGACAATGTTATTCATTTAGAAACACGTCTGAGGTAAGTTTTGAATGAATAATGCCCATAGATATTAAAGTTTGTTAGCTTGATATTGGTTAATTCAATAACAGTAATCACAGTCTGAAACCAATATGGACGGATATTATTTCATAGACCTCAAAGTCCATTGAAGTTGACAAAGATATTATAGACATGACATATATATACAATCACTAAGAGGTGACTATTTTAATGACAAGTGTTTCACTTAGCATAACACGTATTTTTACTTGTCTACTCAAAATAGATTACTTCAAATGAACTTCGTCAATTGTGCATACAAGGATTGTTAACAGTGTGTGTATACTGAAAAACGTGCAGACAAAAAGTGAACCATATTTTTTTGCCCGAATGTATTGAAACTTTTACTGGCTTCAATGTCAGTCAGTCAGTAACAACATAGAACTTCATACGCACGTACATCAGTTCGAGTTTCCAAACCACATTAGCACAGAGATGCTGTTGTCGATTCAAATCCCGTAATGATAGAGGTAGTAGGAGTATAAGCAGTAATCCGGAAGATTAGGGTTTGAAGATGTTATTCAAGAATTATAATCCAGTGAAATAAATTTGGAAAGAGGAAAAAGAAAGGGACATGAAGAATTCAAAAGATTAGAATTTGGGAGAACACAAAGAGTAGATGCACCTGCGCCATTGCAAACAATTTTGAGCCATATCATCCAGAGTCTCTAACCATCGGTTGCTATCATCTCGCGGTCCCCAACCAGGTAGTCTACACCAACCAACATGGCCTGGTCCACTTGTCAGTGACTTCATGGACTTGTGCCATGTTTTGGTCTGGCCGCCCCTAGCTTCCTTCCAACCTACTCCTATACCATTGAAGACCACATGCCGGGGCAGTCGGTGATTGGGCATACGTAAGACGTGTCTCAGCCATCTCAACTGATGAAGTTTCACTACTTGATCAATTTATTTGCCACCCTTACCTAGTATCCGTTTCCTAACAACTGCGTTACTTACTCGATGTTCCCAGGATATACGAGCAATGTTTCAAAGACACCTATGATCAAATACTAGTAGCCCACGGATATCCTCTACTCTTACTGGCTATGTTTCACTGTCATAAAGTAGGATGGAACGAACTGCTGCGCAGTAAACACAACCTTTGGTTGATAGACGGATATCTCGCCTACTGTGAGATTGATAATTAAAACTGATAACATGATATCTAATTAAAATTAACTATGTTCAATACTATTCATTTTAATTTCTTAGCTTTGGGACAACATAATATCTTAAAATAAACATGACTGTTAAGTATGGATGATGATTAAGTTTTAGCAACTTAGTAAGCTCATTTAAAAGCACTGAAACATTCATATCATTGTTTAAGTTACTATGTACTTCAAATAATGTTTGATTACGAAACAAATATTACTCCCATTCTTTCTATTAAGTGTAAATATTCCAAACTTCTCTCGTTATTTAACAGAAATCTAACGGAAAGTCAAAATTCTGAACAAAAAGATCTTCAAAAAAAGATTGATGAATTCAACAAATTTCGTTTAGAACTTGGACGTCGAATTGGTTTATCTGAAATGAATGCAGACCTTGCTAATGTTATGGAAAAAGTAATCGTTATTTCATAGAATTATCTGATGTGTTAATTATATCTAAAAGACCAGTATGTTAAGTGAATGTTTAGAAATAACTAGGAGTCTATAACAAATATAAAAATGATAAGTCTTGAAAAACATATGAATACAAACCTAGAATGGCATATGCGAAGAATACATTCAGCGATCTTTGAACTAAGTTTACTTGTTATGTGAAAAACAACAGTAAAACGCATTATTCCTGGGAATCTTAGGAAAAAGTAGTTGTAACAAGTGATCACAGAATAAAAATGATTGAAGCCATGACATCTTTGTATTGCTTAGTTGCAAGTTTGTAGCCATTCAAATTATGTTTATACAATAAGAAGGGGTAGTAATTCACTATGTGCATCAAAACATGTCACTTTTTTATAATGACTACAAATAAGTCCTGTGCTTTAACCTGGTTGGTGAACACGGAGAGTCCACCTAGGGGAGTTGGAAAACCCTGATTACAAACCCATGGTGCAAATCGGTGCCAGTACCCTGAGGAAACAAACGGAGTATGAATCAATCGTTGGTCATCGGCTACCATGGGACTGCATCTCATTACGATCCTCTACTGGCTTGTGGATCAGACCTTTAGGTCGAAGGCTCTGGGTGTGGCCCCCTGAGAAAACCACCTGCTTCGGTTTGGGCACCCAAGCAGTATCACAGCCCTCACACATATCAAATGAGATTTGTGTGGCGCATATGTATCTGGTGCCCCGTTGTACCAATATTTACGTGTTCAAATAAATAAAATAATTAATAAGACGTACTACTCTCTGTTATTTAGACAAAGTCGAATCCCAACTCATAACTCGATGTTTGAAAATGGAGTGAACAAGTTGATAGAACATGGTATTACATTAAAGTATCTGAAACTTTTAATCATTCAAATTATTTCATTATTTTCTCAATATGATGAAAACTTCTACTCAATGTCTAAAAACGTTATACAATACATCATTTTTGATATATTAGTTATAAATTTTACATTGAGTCAAATATATTTTCTTGTTTTATCGTTCAACTCAAGGAAATGTTTAATTAATGTTTTTTTTAATGATGACAATGTTAAGGTTTCACAGCGTTTAGATGAAGCGGCTCTACTTGAACTTAAATGTACACAGAATACATCTAATTTGAATAGAACCATTACAGAATTAAATTCAATAAAACGAAGTACAGATGAGGTGACCAAGAGAAGTGAAGAATACCTACAAGAAAGGAAAATACTTAATGAAGTAAGTTAAATAACTATTTTTGATGATGCGATATGCAATATCAATGAACCTGGTAACAATACGAAACTATCAATAGAAAATATTGAGACGTTATAATCATATAAAGATTTTTTAAGAATTCGACCGAAATCCCCCTTTTACCAACTAACCATAAAAAAGGGATTTTACTATGACATTACCTTTTTTGGTATAATTTTGTTGTGATGTATCAGTGTTATATATCAGTGATAAATCAGTGTTCTGATTAACTTTATCACTTGGTAAATTATTGTAAGCTTCCCATATTTACAAAAATTTATTATAACATTACTTTGAATAAGAGATGAAAATGAAAATATCAGTTGTAAACGGGAAACTGGTAGAACTTGTCAGTAACATGTTAAGAATGATACTTGTGTAAGGTGTATATGCAAATGTGATTTGACAAATGGGCGATAACAGTTTTAAGGTTAGTTGAAACAACCAGATTTATCAGTTTTTAGCCTAACTTATGTTTTTACTTGATGAGTAAATACAATCTGCATATTTTAACAACCACCGAAGATATATAATTTCCTGTTTTAATATTCAATAGAACAGTAGAATCTTACTATGGTAATTCATTGTAAACGGTACTCATCTCATGTATATTAGTAGGATTAAAGAATTGGATTCATTTTATATCAGAATTGTTTCAAGTGAAACAGGATCAAAAAGTCATTCGTTTTTGAAAAAGTGATTACTGTCAGATAATAAAAGTAATGCTCACTTTATATCATATATTTCATCAAAGAAAACAACTCTCAGCGCAGAATATGCAATGTTGAAACTGAATTCATGTTTTATATACATTTAATTTGTGAATATTACAAAAAGTTATATTAGAAAACTCAACAGAGTGATATGTTGCCAATCATATTCATCCGTCAATGTTTACGACTAGTCTTCCACCAATTCTTGTACTTCTTTCATTTATTGATAACTACATTCGTCTTAGGTAGTAATATCTTGTGAAAATGCGTAAGTAAACGTGGTGAACGGATATAATTAGTGACTTAAAATAAATATAAGAAAATTTGAGATGGTTTGAAATATCCTGTTGCCCATATTTTTGACTGATATCTGATTAGTCTTGGTTGGAATTCGACCATCCTGTCCAGATTGTCTCGTTAATATCATTAAGACACAAGCTGATATAGAATAGATGGAACGGGGCTAGTAGTAGGATCCAGGAAGCGCGTTTGGTTTTGTCTGGGACTGTTTGGCTGGATGTACCTGCACTCCAAAACTGATGTCCACTTCGAGACTCGAACCCAATACCATTTGCGTCCATTTAGTCACACACTACTGCAATGGAGTGAATTCTAATTCATATACATTGGTCGCTTGGATCTTCCCACTGATGTTTAGGACTTTAACCCATCAGTTTCTTCAGGGATATATATATCCTGTGCAGATTGCTTCGATATAGACATTAAGTCACGAGGAGTTTTAAGTAGAGATGAATGGTGGCTAGCAGTGGAATCCAAACCAACCACTGCTGAACAAATATTTGTCAAAAACATCGACAAGGGGACAATGCGAATCACTTAAGATTGAATTAAATCTCATACTCGTTACAAAGAAAAGCCTTTAGCAATGAATGGATTTTTGGAAAAGTGGTGACTCATTATTTTCAGAACGCCATTGTTTCTTTGCTATTTATAGACTACTGAAATCTACTATCGTTTATCAGGTTCATGAGAACCAATCTTTTCATCACAGAACTTGAAAATGATAAACCTAACCTCCTTCAATGACTACTAATCTTCACAACTTTGTAGGTGTATCTTGTTGATAAACGCCGACAAGTATAAAACCTGGACATATTCCCTATTAATGATAATCTTTAACCACCTGATACTCATCCACAAGGCTTTCTCATTTTTATTCACTTAAATTAATAACCAAACTCCCTATTATATGAATGAGATTTCAGGTTACACCGAGATCTCAACAATATAATATCAGAAGTTGTTCAGTGTCTGATTAGTTCTGTCGACTTCATATAAAATACAATTAAATAAAACTCTAACTAAAGTAGTTATTTTTTGTTTTTACTGCTAACCAGCAATACTTTACATTTATTTATAACAGAAAATAAATTTGCTTGAGGCCAAAAATGCAGATTTAACTTCACAATTAACATTATTACAAAATATGTCACAAGCAAAAGAAATTATCATTAAAGATCTACGTAATCAAATAGATGGATTACAAAATAATAAACAACTAATTGAAGAAAGAAATAAACAAACTGCATTCAAGCTTCAAATTGAAAGTACACAAATGAAAGCTTTATTGTAAGTGAAAATAAATAAGGTAAATAATTGAAATGATATTGGTCAATAGCCAGTACGTTTGTATTTAACTGGCTTAAGAAGTTCGACACAGAGTATTGAGCTATTCAGCTAGGTTTTAAACGATGTTCACCGAATTTATAAGCCATTCTTTTTTCTCAATAATAAACGCTAGATCCAAACTTTCATTTCTTTTTGTCTATTTATTTTTAAAGTACTTTTTGTACTTATGCTAGAGGGTAAGTATATTACAACATAATTTAACTAATCGTAGAGTTCATGAATAAGTGAGTAAGAATGTCAATAAACGAAAGATATGTTTAGTTAAAATCTCAAACAAGAAGCGTTTCTTTTAGCTGACAAAGTTCCTCTCACTTTTGTGGAGAATGCAAAGAAAAAATAAAATAAAATATCAGTTAAATCTTATTTTGAATCATATCTTACGTTGCAGCACCTCGAAGACCCCGGCCATGAAGTTGTAATGGACCAACAGAAGCCAGAGCCACAAGATCACAGAATAATCAATCTTCGTCTCTGTCCACCCAGTCCTAATGTTGGTAAATAATGACGGATGTGGAAATCGATGAAATAACATTCGTTGGTGTTGAAAGATGGAAACACCAAGTGAATCTCTGTCGCTATAACCAAAAACGGACTGCCGGACAAAATTATCGTTAGCATGTTGTTGCTACAAAATGCGATAGACTTTTTGAGATCATCGATTATAGAACACTGAGGGCCGTCGAATGTTTTCAGCTCTAAAAGGGTCAGTTTTGTAGCATACGGCGGAACTGCTCTTAGCGGTCCTTCCATACTCAACGTTTTACAGCTAGATTGACTTGGTTCATAATAGCATAAATTTCACGATATTTATCATACTCAAACACCAATATCGGCATTTACATAACCACCTAAAGTATCAGATGCAACTATTATTCACTCTCAATCTAGATTAGATAGATAGGTAGAACAGTTTAAGGAACAGTTCGACTGGCTTTCAGCTAGCCTTCAATTATTGTCCATACCCTATCAACCTGAACAATAAATCGATACAAGTACTTAACAGTAAATGAAGTTGAAAATGATATAGATAGTCCAGAACGAGAGAGAGCAGGACGACCTTATGACAAAACACCAAAAATAAATAAATCTGTTAACAGAAAGTACTTACCAGAAGGGTTTTTGTGGAGATTTTGGTAATTTCAACAGTTCAAAGTACTTACATTTATCTAATTAACATGAGATAACCGTAAATGTTAGAAACATTTTGTTGTTATCATTTCATTATTTTTTTTCTACACCAGAACATCACTTTCTGCATCTTTATCAACAATTGATAAACCATGTGAACCAACTGAAATAGGTGTCAAAGAATCTATAGTGAGAATTTTAGATCAAAATGTTCAAATGCGTGAGGTAAGCTGATAGTTTATTCATAGATAAATGGTTAAACCCGACCGTAGCTGTTACCTTGACGCGGTGGTTGGGCTGGCCTATCGTGATGACCCAACCGAGCCATATTGACTGGAACATATGTTCCTGTAGGTTCTACCATGCCAGGCCGGTCGACTGGAGAACGGTAAGACTAAAAGCAGCAACTCAAGGTCTGAGGGTGGGGTCGTACTGCTGACTGTAGAGGGGTGTGACAGCAGCAAGGTGTTTCCCTCGGACAACCAGCATCTGCGGCGATGCTGCCTTCTCACAAGGACGGAAGGGGTTAGGATGGAAAGATGTTCGGGATGCGATTCTCCCCCTCGAAATGCAAAATGTTGCTTCAGGATTGGGTGGCATTGACACTTGAACTAATGATAGGGAGTGAAGTAGTTGAGCGTGTTGACCGCTTCACTTATCTTGGAAGTCTCATCAGCCCTTGTAGTCTGGTGTGTGGCGAAATGTCTGCACGAATACAGAAGGCTCGACTAGCTTCTGCCAAATTGCATCATTTATAGCGTAGGCGAGATATCCGTCTACCGACCACAGGACGGGTTTACTGTGCAGCAGTTCGTTCCGTCCTACTTTATAACAGTGAAACATGGCCAGTAAGAGTAGAGGATATTCGTACGTTGCTAGTATTTGATCATAAGTGTCTACGAAACATTGCTCGTATATCCTGGGAACATCGAGTAAGTAACGCAGTTGTTAGGAAACGGATACTAGGTAAGGGTGGCAAACCAATTGATCAAGTAGTGAAACTTCATCAGTTGAGATGGCTGGGACACGTTTTACGTATGCCCAACCACCGGCTGCCTCGACGTGCTATGTTCAGTGGTATAGGAGTAGGTTGGAAGAAAGCTAGGGCGGCCAGACCAAAATGTGGCACAAATCCATGAAGTCACTGACAAGTGGACTGAACCATGTCGGTAGGTGTAGACTACCTGGTTGGGGACCGCGAGATGATAGCAACCGATGGTTAGAGACTCTGGATGATATGGCTCAAAATTGTTTGCAATGGCGCAGGTGCATCTACTCTCTGTGTTCTCCCAAATTCTAATCTTTTGAATTCTTCATGTCCCTTTCTTTTTCCTCTTTCCAAATTTATTTCACTGGATTATAATTCTTGAATAACATCTTCAAACCCTAATTTTCCCGATTACTGCTTATACTCCTACTACCTATACCATTACGGGATTTGAATCGACAACAGCATCTCTGTGCTAATGTGGTTTGGAAACTCGAACTGATGTACGTGCGTATGAAGTTCTACGTTGTTACTGACTGACTGATTAAACTCAGTATTATATGAATTGTACATAGTTGATTCATGTGACAGTTGTAATGTACCGGTGACAATCTTGAAAAAATAATATCGAGCAAAATGTTATTTAATTTGACAAATAGAATGTATTTTGTGAAAGTTTCAGTTATAGTTTACCATGACTTGTATTCGAACGGAAAAGAATAAATAATCCTCAACAATGGTATTATTTCATTCTCATATAGTTATTATCTTCACTTATAATATTATAATCAATTGTTTACCTAAAATAAACACTTACTGTTTATTTTATTTATTTAAGGCTGGAAATAATTTTCAAAGTAAAGTACTTGAACTTCAAAATCAATTTGAAGCGCAACATAAAGCTGGTTTAGCAATGAATACAGAATTGAAACAGGCAAGAGAACGAGTACAACAAGCTGAAACTGATTGTGCACGAATAGAAACTGAGTTATCAGGTCTTCATCTTCTATACAAGCAAGATCAGGAATTAAAAGAGAAAGTCAGTAAAATACGTGAAATAATTACTCGTTAAATAGTTTCGATGTTAAAATGATGTTTTTCAGTAAATAAGTTCATTTGTAAGGTAAATAAGTATTTAGATTATTATTCTCATAACTTGAGAATTAGGCAATTTTTGGCTGCTTCAGAGACACCAGTATTGGATTTGAGCTGCATTGGCATAATGAACGAAAACTCAAGTGGGAAGAACAAATTAATTGTTTAATGCATTATCGCACAGCGACTTATTGAAATGTGAAAATCATACACTAAATACATCATTTGCACATTTTTGCACTATCTTTTACGAAATCGATTCATCTGAGTTGGCAACAATGAATATTGTTTTCTTAAACCAAGAATCAATATTACTCATTGATTGTTGGTCTGACCAATGTCTATAGATGCAGCCTATCTGATTGTGTTGGCGAAGTAACCATGATGAATGGCTTGAGATTTGAGTGATGTGACACAGAATTGTTCATAAGGGCGCAGATGCATTAAGTGTTTATGCTGCTGTCAGTCTTGAATTTCAATATTATTTCATACATACCTTCCCGTATTATTTTCTAACCATATTCCTCAGATTTAATCTCTTTTGTTACTACATGATTCCGAACTTTTTTGTTATTTTTATCACATCATACAAATGTAGTATGGCAACGTGGGCCAACCCACATCTGCATCAGGCCCCGTTTTAAAGATGGTCGACAACTGGTGGCTTAATTGCAATTTAGTTTAATAACAATGATAAATGTATTTACCATTACTTAGGTGAAATCGTTGTTGATCCAACTGTGCGATTATTTGAGCATACAAATCGATCATCAAGAGGCTAAACCAACTGAAATGATTTCAGCTTGTCTAGGTAAGACATTTTTCTTTAGTTTATTTTGTGCCACCAATTATTATGGTTACTTAAAGATAATACTAAGAAATTTTAGTAAGACAAGTTAGATTTCAACGAAGTGTTTGTATTTTGGTGAATTTATTAAAAGCTAACTTATAAAAGCTAACGTTATCCTAATACCTGGAGGACAGACTAATTTAATTCGAATTCACTGTGATGTTAATAGTCACAAAACCAAGGTCTCAGTTTATCTGGACAAATGTACAGTTCTATTTAATGTGTATACAAGACTGTTTTTTCTCATTATAATTATTTATACTTAATAGAAAATTTAAAACACTTATAGTATCATTGTATAATTTTCTGTTTGCTGAGAATTAGGTGTAACGAATAATTTCTACAAATGTACTATCAGTAAAGTGGGGAAAACATTTGAAAAACAAAAAAAAATCAAAGATAATACAGTAACACAAATGGGCCTCTATGTCATACTAAGTGTACTTGATATCAAAATATACTTGTTCAAGCTCTTTACATAGAAACATATACTTGTACTTTGATACCGAGTTACACTACAGTGATATCACGTGGGTCTGATCAACTAGTTTAAGGAATTAGGATTATCCGACAAGAAACCTTGAGACATTCCCTATTAAATAGTTAAATTTTGATAGTTAAGGCTGTTTAAATTTACTAACTTTCTAGGTAACAAGTTTTATTTTACATTAAATAGATAAATATATCATACGTCAATCTTTAGTTTCAATAAGTAAACTTATTAATCAATTCAAAATGGATGTAAGAAATATAACCACTAGGTGTTGAACTGCATACTTAATAAAACACATTTCCCTGAATGTATTTAATATTATAATTAGATAGGGATTTTGTGGATATTATAGTAATTTAATACTTGAATTCATGAATCAATTGAAGCTAGACCACCATGAAAAACCTGGAAGCACTGGACGGTCAGGTCTGTTGTGAGATAGTAACTCACGGAAGACAGTGGTGGACGATGGCGCAATTTCGTGGATTGGTTAAACTTAGTCATTAACACCATTGGATACCGGTTCAGTGGTCTGGAGGTTAAGTGCTAGCGCGTGAAACTGGTAGGTCTTGGGTTCGAATCTCGCGAAGCAGGATCGTGGGTGTACATTGCTGAGAAGTCCCATACTAGGAGGAAACTTTCATCCAGTGCTTTCAGGTTTTCCATGATGGTCCAGCTTCAATTAACTTATGAATTCAATTATTAAACATTTAATATTTTTTTTCAAAATTGTTATGACTTTATGTCCGGCCTTTATCACGCGATTTACCCACCAATCAAAATACGACTTGTACAATCTTCGCGCTGTGCCAAACCAATGACGTTCGACCGGCATGGGCAGTCTAGCGTCCTTATTGGTCGTATATCCGCCTAGTCCGTCCACTTGAGTCCAAAACACGAAATACCAGCTCCCAATATGCGAATCGAATCATTTATTTCAAACATACTGGGTTTATATATCAACCAAACAGACCGCAACGCACCATAAAATAGGAAATAACATTTGTACACAATAAAGCCAAAAAGTGGCTGTGAACGTGTGAGGCAGTAGTTAATAAACTGAACATAGCTTAAGAACCATAAATCGTACAATAATAAATTATACGTCAAAATGAAGCTTATAATAAGAGGAATATAAATATATATAATCCAATTATTGAATAATTATATCATAAGAATGTATAGATAATATTAGTCAATTAATATGTCTCAGAAGTTACTCGTGACTTAATCTTCGCTCGGATATAACAAAAAGAATACAGAATTAAAACTTTTAATTCTAATATTGTTTAATAGTTATATTTACACCTTAGAAATTTTAAATAAAATAATTGTATAGAGAAATTTATAGTAAATTTTGTTATTGAGACTTATTATGTATGTTACCTAAGAGTTTAAATCAATCAACAACAAGAATTAAATTCAAGTGATTGCTAAGTTTATTGTTTATTGATATTTCCTAAATAAAACAAATCTATACTCTGTGAAATAATAATAACATTATTATTAGTTATATCACTAAGGGTTTCATTTCTATTCCCATAGTAAACATGATTTAGTGTCACCTAGGAATCTAAATAGTACTCATTTCTGTTAGGTCCCGATAAACATAATGAATGGTAACTTTGGTATCCTTTTATGGACCAATACTAACGTATATGTTTATCGTATAATTATTAAATAAATAAACTAAACATATTCATGTTCCTCGTATTATAAGCTTTATTTTAACCTATGAACTGTTATTATACGACTTTCCATTCTTGAATTATTCCCTGTCTATTAGTCACTGCCTCCCTCATCCACAGCCACATCTGGCTAATTCTTGTATAAATGTTGTTTCATATTTTATTGGTACTTTGTGGTCTGTTTGATTGGTATATAAACACAGTATGTTTGAAATATAATGATTCATATCGCAGAGGCTCAGATTGGTGTTCTGGACTTAACTGGCTGGGCTAGGCGGGAAGCAGGACCAATCAGAACTCCAGGTTGCTCATACGGGTTCACGCATCACTGCTCTCTAATCGGCGGTCAGAAGTTATAAGAATTTCTTATTATGTTATTGACCTGTTGCTTATGAAATATTAAAGAATCCTTTAGAAGTTACATCAGCTGGCTGATAAATAAATAAAGTTTATCATTTACTCAAATTCTAATCTATTAGTGTTTGTATTATATAATAAATACTTTTTTTCCCTCAGTTATTTTTTCTTGCCCAACTTATTTAACTTACAGATCGTATTGAGCATCTATTAAATAGAGGTTGCTTACCATGGGTATGTGTTCAGTCAAGTGAAATACGTGATCATCATCATTTTAAAAATCATGAACCATTAGTTCCAAATGAACAATTTGTTCGGAATTCTGATAATTCAAATAAATGTTTACATGATCTAGAATGTCATCAGTCACATTTACCATGCCATTTACAGATGAGCAAGGAGCTGTCAGAAAATGATTGTGATCATAAACAGATTGAATATATAACAGATCAAATTATAATGAAACAAGGTCAGTTATCATTAAAAGATTGGCGATCAATCAAAAACTTGTGTAACTTATGTAATGAGAAATTAATAAAATGTTTTTCTGATCAACTGAGTGAATTATTCGAACAAATAACAGAAATTCATAAGGCAAATGCACAAAATCCGAAGTGTAATGACCAAATTTTAGCTAAATTACAAGAAGAACTTGAAAGTAAACAGATAGAATTGAATGATGTCAAAAATAACTTCGAATCACAAATTTCAGATAGAGTAAGTTGTTAAATTTAGGACGACAATAAATTTTAACATTATTTTTTGTGAAGTACATTAAATATTATAAATCTGGTAAGTATTCAGTTGTGTTAATGTAGTCTACGTCCACAAATTAAGTACTTAAGTATTTATATGCATATATATTTAGCTTTTTATGTTTTATACTATAATCTCACTAAACATTCAGTCACATGTCCGAATCCAGCTTCCTTTTGAACATCTGGGTAGATTCACTATCTATCATATAAACAGGGTAATCCAAAACCAACTGAATAAAAGTGAACTTCATAAATGCGTTACATTTATGTCTCAAGTATGGTAAAGATAATTCCTAGAGCTAAGATCATTTAGTAAAAGCTATAATATCAGTGACATCTATTGATGCAACTTCTAATCTCTCGTACATTGCTACCGAAATACTTGAAAATGTTAGACAAATTTGAACCTATACTATTCAATATTGTTATCATAGATGACCTGACAAATTATCTAAACTTTATACCAATTTCTAGTTTTATAAAATTGAGCACAGTTAAAACAACAACTGTAACAGAATGATATAAACTCACATATTTCAGGTACTCTCTTCAATTGTTTACAATCTAGAAACAACAGTACTGTTTATTTAAAATCATTGTAAATAATTTTTATCATAATGATAGAAATTAATAGAAAACTAATAAACCTGGAAAAAGATGTTCTGGCAGTTAAATATTTCATTAATCCTTATCCTTTCATAAATTTAAATTAAGCGAGAAGAATAATATTTCCAGAATTAAGTTAGCACATTATATTTTAAGGCTTGTCATCAGTTGCAAACGAGCTACATTTTTACTCCATACCATTATTAATAAAGTTTGGTACGAAACAACATATTTAACATAACAGTTTATATATGTTAAAGCTGAAGTGATAAAAAAAAGAAGGGGGTGAAGTTATAAATAGTAATAAAGAGACAATGAATCAAAACAAGTTGTCACCAAACGGCTAACAATCAAGGCTTCTGTTTAATACAAAATTAAAGTTTATGTCATCAGTGAATGTCAACGGAAGTCTTACCTTAAGTTATAAATCATAATAAGAAGATAATATAACTGTCTTACCATGGTAATGGTAGGTTTAGTACATTTTCTTTCTGTATACAAGTCAGGTTGGAAGCGCTTGATCGCAATGGCCTCAGAAAAGCGGTGTAAAAGTGGTGCACATTGCCTGTTAATTATTTTGAATACATTTGAAACAACCACGTTGTGTCTACTATCTATTAAATGCTTAGTGATCGCACATAAAATAACTTTACTTCGCTTTAAACACAACATACAGTGAATATGTTCCGAAAACCTTGCTGATACCCGACTTTCAGTCCTTCCTATGTACTTGCTTCCAAAAGTACATGTAAACTGGTAAATATATTTCGAGGCGACCTCAGAAGGGTATTGATCCATTTTGATTGATTTAAAGAATATCTGGTGTTATACACCAACAATAGTTGGGTTGCAAAAAAACTTCTCTTTAGCACTGCTATAATCCTTTTATCAACTTTGCCCAAAATATCCTTACCTTTTGAATCCAAGACGAATGAAGGCAGCTTTTCTATTAACAACATTTGGTTAAGACTTTCAGTAATCGTCTTGCCATACTTCAAAATAAATTTCTTTGTGTATCCATTATTTACCTCATTTTTTTCATATATTTATTTTAATTAATGTAAAAGTTCTAGAACAGAAAGTTTCAAAAAGCATGGAGAGAAGTTTCTAGGAAATAAGCGATACCAATGTTACGCAACAACGTTAAAAATTGGATAGATTGACAGAGTAAAATAAATAAAGCTCATTAAATACGCAAGACTGTAGAAAAAGAATTTGTAATTCAGAACACGAAATGTTACGAAACCAATTGTTGTAAGCTGAAGTCATTAGGGTAATGCGAGACTGATAACTACATCATAATGAATGAGTGAATTCGGTCATAATCTTTTAATAAAGATGCCTTTGTCAAAATGTAACAGATTTGAAGTTGTTTGGGTAGTGATTATTTTGAAAAATCCTGAAATCAAAAAACCATGTCCTCTTACAAATAGATGAATGTTGATTGCATTGCTGAAAATATGTTGACCTTTTTTGTCTAAGCTAGTGTGGAGTGTCCTCAGAGTTTTGAAAATAAATAAGTTCGTAATAGAGTATCATTTTCAGAAAGTATAAATGATACCAGTAAATCTATAAATAAGTTATAAATTCAATTCGTATTGGTTACTTGAATCCTCCCATTGATGTTTATTACTGCAATTGGTCAGTCTCTTGTTGTCATTGTGCATCCTGTCTCGATATTGCCTTAGATCACAAGCTTTATAAGCAAGGATGAGAATTGGCTAGCAGTGGAATTCAGGACGCGCGTTTCGTCCTATTTGGGACTCGTCAGCCGGATGTACCTACCTCTCTGAATTGATGTTCATTCTGGGACTCGAACCCAGTACCGTTCGCTTCAAACGCCATCGTGTTATCCACTCAGCTACTGGGTCCTGGTGGCCAACTGCTAGTGCGATAGGGTGAAGTTTAAACCCAGGGTCCAGAGTGAACATCAATTCTGAGATGCAGGTACATCCAGCTGAAAAATTCCAAGTATAACGAAACGTACGTCTTGGATTCCACCGCTAGCCACTATCCATCTTTGCCTACAAATAAGTTACTTTGCTCAAATTTACCAGAATAAAGCGCAGTATGTAAATAATTTGTAAACTAGTGTTATTTATAAGGACAGTCCATTCACGTCAGCTGACTGGATTCATCTCTCTCAATGAAAGACAGAGACCAGAAGTCTTTACTGCGATACACTAAACCAATTAATTGTAGACTAGTTAACTTGTTGTCCGAAACAGTATATAAAACTACATTTAGAAAATTGGACTAATACTTAGTAATCTACTGTATAAACTAAAAACTCTTAATCACCACTCACACTAAAATTACTTCGTCAACACTAGATGCATAGTAAAGTTCCATACAAAATCTAAGAAAACTTTAAAAAGTATATGATTGGGTATACTTTGAAAGCAAAATGTTAAAAGGACTGAAATTTTAAAAAAAAACCGACATCCTAGAATACATAAGTTAAAGCACATATATCACTTGGTACTTTTACTACTTTCAACTCGTAGTATTTCGTTCACATCGTTATATTAACTGATAATATATTTTTACAAGTCCACATTTATCAATAGCTTGAAAATAAGATGCTTCAACTAATTTCTTGCATAGAGATTTTATAACACTACATTTTTCGTATTTAAAAAAAATAATAAAATTAGGATAAACAAATTGAAAAATTGAATGGATCTTTGAAACTTCAAATACAAAAAACGGAGAAATTTCAAAAATTAATTGAACAACAACATTCAAATTCACAAAATAAACATGAAGCATTTAAAATGGCAAAAAGTTTATTAGTTAATGTACATGCTAAAAAGAAAGAAGTAAGTTCAAATTCTACTACTACCATAATAATTATTAACAATATAATTTGTTAAAGAGTGAATAAGAAATTTTTTAGCTGTAATTAGTATATCAATATTCAGTCTTTTTTTCAATTTATTAATTGAATCATGGAATAAAACGAGATTCAAAGAAGAGATTCTCATTTTAGTAAAGCTTAAGCGTTCACGTGCGAAATCGAAATACCTGGGTTCGAGTCCTACGTGTGGGATTTCAGACGCACACTGCTGAGGAGTTTCATACTAGGACGAGACGGTCGTCCAGTGCTTCCAGGTTTTCAATGGTGGTCTAGCTTAGATTGACTCACGAATTCAACCATTAAGATTTAATTGTTAACAAAAGCATTGTAATGCACAAAATTCAACTCCTTCGCAATTTCATTGAATAATAATTGATAAAACTTTTGGGAAATTATTAAGATTGAATGTAATACTTAGTAAGAATGAAGCTTTAACAGAAAATGAGTCAAAAATTATAAAGATGACAAAAAGAAATACGAACCTAGCAAAATACGGAGACAGAAGATACTACTTAGATAATACTATCTCAACTTGTGTTAATTCTATCCGGTAATTTATTTACTCTGAAGAAGCGGCATAAAACTAAGTCGCAAAACATCAGAAATACATTTTTTCTACTGATTGGGATATAACGAAAAAAATATCATCAGCTCACTAACCAATGCTCATTTTTTTCAACTACCTAGCCCAACCCTGGCATTGATACGTATAAACAAAAATCTAGTTTTAATTTGAATGGTGACTTGACTTACTATTTTCCATGCAAAGCAGAAGTAACCAAAATGCTTTTAAGAGTAACAAGATTTCATTGATGCCTTTTTTATGAAGTATAAAAGGATGTGTTATGCCGAAAAGCTATACCTACAAACTTTTTAATCACTAGGATATTTCATTGATCTATAGTAGCGTCTTACTCTCGCGTGTGAGAACAAAAGAAATGCACCATTTTCTCAATAAACGAGTGATATTATTCTTGATAGGCCATTAAGTATTATTTGGTCACAGGACTTATTTCCTAATGATAACAGACAAAAAATGAATGACTTAATATTGTAATACACATTATTCAATACTGAAACTTTTAAGTCAATAATGAGCCCTAAATTTAATATGCAGATACTTAAAACAATATTCTGTCAACGTGTTGCATAATATCCAGTATTTAGTGTACAAATTCAGTCCCATAACTTCCCGGTCATACTGGATATCATCAGAAATCACGAAACCAAGTAGTGGAGATTCAGATCCATAAGAGGCTGTCAGTCTCCTTGAGGCTATGAAGTTCGAGTATCCCTAAAAACATTGCTGAGCATTTGCATAACACGAGCTTTTGTTTTATTTTTAAAAGCTCGGGACATTTCGGGATCTTATCGGAAGAATGCTGGATGTGGATACGCGATTTTCTCCAAATCCTGATATGATGATATTTCAACGACTTCAACAACTGATAGACTTTGCAGTTTCTAGCCGTTTAACATCAATTCAACCTAATATAACAACCTCATTTAGTAACACCCCTAATAATACATTTTATCCTTTTATAAATTCTTCGAAATCAACAATGAGTCAAATCCCTATTAAACCGTTAAGTTCTATGTATACAAACAACCTAACTCTACCGTCATGGGATAAACATCGTGAAGGTAAGGAAAAGTGTTTATGAATTATGTGATGAACAATAAGCAGCCATATAAATCACAAACTGCGAGTCGCACATACTAATTTTAGTTACTGTTCTTTTATGATATATAAATCAGTACTAAACTTTGTTAGTCATCTTATCAAACAGGTAAAGAGCGAACACTTTCAATGGCCTAAAAATAGAACATTGAGTAACATTAAATCATCACAAGGATATTTCTTCACCAAGTAGTAATGTGGTCAAAGTTATCCCTACATTAAAAGCACTCATATAAAAGCCAACTTTCACAATTTAACTCAAATCAAAATTCATGGCTATATTACACATATTCGATGGTATTAATTTTCAAATCAAACTACGGTCCTAGTCCATACGAAAAATAAGCTGATACAGGTAGATACGGCCTCAGACAACAAATACGACTACCCGCTAAAGCACCTTTAGTTGATCACTGGCAAAGTAGAAACTGAGACATATATGCATAGAGTCAAATAGTCACAGAATATTCTCACTACATTGGAGAAATACCAGAAGACAATGCCTTGTCTGTGATCATAAAGAATCATTACTGGACGAAAATATGATTGTCTACTAAAACTTTTAGCCAATCGAAAATGAAGATAAAAAATGGTTGGATCATTTACACTGATTAAGAGAAAGGATAAACAAGACAATTGGGGATATGTAGTCGAATCTCTGTCTGACTAACTACTACAAATGTTTATTTTAATGTCACCATTAACAAGTCTTCTCTAAAATATATGTGAATTTCGATAAACACTCATTGCCAAACCAGGCGAACCTTGTGTGGTTCGGAAATACGTACCTCTCTCCCACTTACTGCTTAATAACACTAGAATTTCAGTAAACTTTAGTCAATGTAAAAAAACCTACAATTAGTTACTAATTCTAATATCCAGATGCAATTGATTTCTTTTCTAAAAAGTGATGCCTGTTATCGTATGTACTTCGATTTTGAAGAATAACCGGTTGTTTCGAAATCTCTCTGAGTGCTACAGTGTTTTCATTACGAATAATTTGTACTTCTTTAACTACATACATCTTGTTCAGATGAAATTCATTAATTTCCAGTAAATTTAATTACTCAAATGGATTGTCACTACTTGATTTTCATGTTTGTTTTAGGCCACTTGGACTTGCAGTCAGAACACCAAGGAAAAATTAGGCCTACATCAGATGAAATGACTCAAGCCGAAAGTGAGAAAAAACGAATACACCGACAAAGTGTGCAAGAAAATAAATCAAAAGCCTCCACTAAATCTACATCTAATGTACCGAAGAAATCAGAATCCCGCATTCAAAAGGATGACCGTCAATACTAGGAAAATATTCACATAACACTACTACCTCAGAAAGTAGGCACTTTATTTAAAATACCTCGAAAACACTTATAATACCAACAATAGATTATTGCTCAAAGTCCAAACCTTTTAACTTAAAGTAAGAATTGGGAGTAGATCTCATGTCCAACGCTAGCCAGATAAAACAAGCTTAGAAACAGACAGTAAAACGAAAAATGCCACTTTCGTTAACCGATGTGGTCAAAACTTTGCTATCATCGAAGGTGGAAGATAAATGTATTTTGTCATAAATATATTTAAACCATTAACTGAATGTGATGAGACATAGCAAGTATTATTGAGGTTAAGAGTTACGTTTTTTACAGTAAAAGTAAGTCAGTAGATGGACTTGTGAACCAAAACGATGTGGCTTCTGGATCACGACGAAATCATCGTATTTTGCAGACAATTGTGACTTTTATCAGAATTTAAGAGTTATGGTGAGCAAAAGACTTTCACTCATATATATATTTAAATAATCCAGTGAAGATAATCAATTGAATTAAATTAGTGTAGCAATATCATCATTTGCTAAATAATGTGTGACTCATAATCGAATGATAAGTGAATTTATAGATAGCGCCCAATGAGCATTACTAACCAGATACAGAAGTAAACATACTTCAGGAGGACAACAATGAACGTTGGAAAATAAATTGTCATATTTTGAGATACAATAAGAAAAATAGAATAACCGATTAGAAAACACATCAGGATCTAGGTCTGGGCTTAACAACAGAATGGAAAGAAGTTTTATTTGCGAAGTTTTGAATCCATGGGTGAGAGATGATTCCTTCTAGGGACAACCGATCCGTCGGATAACGTTGAAGGATCTGTGAAGATATTATAAATAAATGTATCACTGAAAGATGGTGAAAACAAAGTGAACTGAAACTAAATCAATATACACTAAATTTGTCAGCGATATTTGAACGAACAGATGTCAGTATTTACTGAGATTCTGACAGGGCTAGAATTCAAACAACTACAGGTGTATTACCCACAAGTGTATCCTACAGATATTTACAGTAGGAACACTTTCCACCTAATATTTAGAAACCAATTAGACGCTGGTTATTATAACTCAACCGCGAGTTTAGAATGTGGTAATAAGACTATTAAATGCGTTATCGGATTTGACCCAAAACTTTCAACAGACAGTAGCAACAGCTAGCTGTATTATTAAGATGGAAAACTCCAACACTTGCTTCTTAAATGAAATGTTTGGTAGAACAAGACAACTTGACAACACAACGTCAAATTCTTGTCTTTAGAAGTACACCAGAAGTTTAAGTTGATCAAGAAGTTTCGTTTAAAATATCAGAAACTGAGTAAACCGGTAGAGTGACCAAATTTCATTAGACGACTATTACAATAGCAAGTGGTTTAGGTAGCATTGAGTATTTTACTATCTACCATATATTGTGTGGAACACTTAGCTTAAGACCATAACAGCGAACGCATCCAAATGCCTTGGTATGGCCGAGAGTGGGAAGAGCCAGCTCTCCTCGAAATGCTCTCACATGGCCACACGTATGCAGTCACTACCAGAGAAGTCATAATCACTACATTATCGCGGCGGGGATGTTGTTTACGAAACTGAGGGGACAAAAAGCGAATGTCCCACGCTTTAACCGGGTTGGTGGATACCCCGTATCCACTTACGGGAGTTGGAAAACTCTGATCCAAACCAGTGGTGCATATCGACTCCAGGATCCTAAGGAAACAAATGGCGTATGAACCTATTGTTGGTCACCGGCTACCAAGGGACTGAATCTCCTTACGTTGCTCCACTACTTTGTGGATTAGACCTTTAGGTCAAAGGCTCCGGGTGTGGCCCCCTGAGAAGACCACCTGCTTCGGTTTGCGCACCCGGGCAGTATGCCAGCCTTCACACTGATCGAATGATTTATGTGGTGCATATCTATTTGGTGCCTCCTTGTACCAATGTTTATGTGTTGAAATAAATAATAACAGTGAACTGAACAAATGACTTTGTAAATGACTCTTACTTAAACCCTACCTAGTTTATTCAAAACTATGAACCAACCACTCGTTACCATTGCTCGTAGTTGGGTATGTATTTGTTGATAGCAACGAAGTGAATAAAAAAGGGTCTAACATTGACTAGTCCAGATCAGATTATTTGACTGTCACTGCTGAGAATTGTTTTGCTATGAACTACTGATAATATTATTGTATTTATTTAAAAACATCCCACTGAAAGAAGTTAAGTAATCAAGTTTCACTTAAAGGATATTATTGTTGTTTATTAAATCAAAAAGGTTGTGTGCGATGGACTTATAATGATGAGACTTGCAATATCGTTTGACAGTAAACTACTACTACCACAGACAATTCAATCTTCAACTGCTGCTAACGGATCTATAATGATTTATTCCAACCAGAAATAAGGTGGCATTTAAGGAGGCTTCACTAATATGGTTTGAATAAGCAACAGATAACTATCAAGTTTCAAAACACTATTTAACATATTAAAGCGTAGCTACTTTCGAAGTGAAGTGGTGGTTTGAGGTAAATGGTCGAAAATTTTCATTGGAAGACTCCTCAGGTATTAATAAAACAGACTCCACGTAATGTTCAAGGTACAACTAGTGAATAAAGCTAAACTTATCGGGAGAATTTCAGCTATATCCCGATTCCCAATACTTGCCGTTAATATGTCATGTAAAACACTTGGCTTAATATAGTTTCACAGAACATTCTACATATGACTATTGAGCACAAGCAGTCTGAAAAGTATACAACTTGTTTTCTCACTAATTATTTTTTTAGACAAATTATCATGGACAGTTAGTTATCTAGTCTGATCCAAGAGCTATCTGAAGATGATTCCAATACGGTCAGATAAGTATGTTCTGGAAATACAACTAAAGGTGCCAACTAAAATCAGTATAGTTTTATTTATTTACCCAAAGATCCGGAATAAATGTGATCCTAACAAGATATAAATGGATTTAAAAATCAAAAATTACTTTACGGTCTACTGAAAGTTATTATTTCAAGGACTTTATCCCCATAAACAGTAGTCCCTTGAATTACCTAGCCAGACACTTCAAGATCATTTCCTTATACTTTAATTATTATCATCTTTGTTGGTCCACTTAGTTTAAGTCCTAATTATGGCTACAGTTGAGAGTTGACTCACTAGTAAATTTATAGTTACTTGCTTGTGTTCACTAGAGTCCTCGAAAAAATAATGCCTGATACACCTCATATATAAGCATCTAAAAAATGGACTAAAAGTACAAAATGTTTAAAAAAGTACCTTAGATATCATGTCTTGTGCCATCGGAGTTATAACAGGAGGGAAGGTATATTTAACAGTTTTGATACAGGCATAAGTGTCTTGTGTATTAGGATGTTCAAACGGAGGTTTACCACAAAGCATTTCATAACATAAAATTCCAACAGTCCAGTGATCCACACGTTCATCATGGGAAACCCCAGCAACCATTTCTGGAGCTAAGTAGTCTATTGTTCCGCAAAGCGTTCGTCTCCTACAAAAAACAGCATGGTATTTGACTAGGAAAATGGAATATAAACTCCCGAAAGACTAAAATGCACCCTTCACTATTATTCCTAATTAAAAAGTACCCAATGCATCATAACAGTAATACAATTTACGAGGTAATTTTTCAAATGATGCAATTGCACGACTGTAATATCAAGTTGACTACAATATGCGAAATAATGGAACAATGGGAAGTCCGTTACGCATGCTGAACCATCGTCACCCTCGACGGGCGATGTCTTCTAGTGTAGAAGTAGGCTGGAAGCTAGGGACGGCCAAGTCAAAACATGGCATCACTCCATGACGTCATTAACAATTGAACTTATCCATGCGTGATTATCGTAACCAGTGGTTAGAAATTTTACATAACATGACACAAAATCGTTTACAACGGTGCAGGCGCATCCATTTTTTATGTTCCCCCAACTTCTAAACTTCTGAATTCTTTTATTTCATTAATATATTTTTTCTTGGATACTTGATCTTTCCGACTACCACTGAAACTGTTACTACCTCTACTGCTCTGATATTCGGACTGACAATTTCATCTCACAGTGCTAATGGAGTATAGCAACTTGAAACGGTGTACATTAGTACAGTAGTACTATTGAATATTCTGGAAACTACTGCAGATACCATAACAACCAGCAAGAACAGTGCAGTTGCTATAAAGTAACACAATATTTAGCCCCAAAGTAGTGTGGATTTATGTGCTAAACGCGCTATTGTTAATAAATAGGTGCTTGCAGTACAAGTATCACAGTTAAGAATTAAAGCCAACTCTTGGTTTAGAAGGACATTATCATTTCTTTAACCCGCTCTTACACAACCAAGCTTTAGCACTTATAACACACGTTCCAAGCTTATTATCTGATAAAAGTTCTTGATACAGTCACATTAGAAACTCAGTGGAGTACCGTACAAATAATATTAACAGACATAGACAGTGCTTCGGTTACACACGTAATATCTTCTCATCTTCCATTTCAAGCGGTTGGTACCTCATAGTTGAAGCGCATAATGGAGAAAACTGTAATAGAATACGCACTATTCCATATGTACACGAACAACTTTCACGGGCCTCCGGAGACCTAGGTTCGTGCAAAACAGACCATTTGCGTTCGTTAATATATTCCGTCAATTATGTTGACCATCAGAATAGGTAAGGTGAACGATTTCCCCGAACAGTTCCCTATCTACAGTCAGACTAGGCATCCACACAGATCATTTTTAAAACACTACTTTAAATTTGCGAAGGTAAAACCCGTCCCAAGAATCCTTATATTGATGCACGAGACTTGAAGACTGCAGTTGCCGCATCTTCCGTCAAACAAAGTTAACACTTGCATACTCAAAGACTATTGGGGAATCTCCAGGTAACAGATTAGTTCCTAAAGTAGTATACACATAGCGAAATTGAAATGAAGTAAAGGCCGATAGCTTTGAGGGACACTACTTGATATAGCTGAGAAATTTAATAGTTCACCGAAATCTCCAACGCGACTGCAACTGTTCGGTTGAGCGTGTTGACCGCTTCACTT